AAGGAAGAGCATCAGCCCCCTGTTGTATTGTCACCTATTCCTCTGGAGAGTTCGGGTTGCTCTCGCGCACACACACAGATGCGCATCGATCCTCAGCCACAAACCTTTGCTTGTTTGTTGAGCTGAGCCCAATGTAATCAGGTAACGGCTTCCTGTATTTTCTTGGCTTGTCCGAACATCTCTGCTCTGAGATTCTTGCACATCAACATGACTGTTGACATGAACTGACAGGTCCGCTGCATGTAATTACTCCGGGAGACATGCATTGCGCACGGGAAAACCTGCAACTGCACTGACATGTTCGACATGACTGCGCATGCCTGACCTGTAAAACCTATTCCAAGGATCTAATTTTGCCAGCTCAAGGGGCCTGCTTTGTCTCTTATTTTGCCAGCACAGGGGCCTAGCTTCTTGGCAGGTACGTCCCACGGCGTACAGTTGAATGAATATCACCAGCACGCATCCAGTGTGTTGCTTGGTGCAAGCCTGGGTGGGCTGCTAGCACCCCCTGCTGGTACACGTTGCATCTGCACAAACGTGTTTAACCCTTGGTACAAGACGCGCTGACGCAGGAAAATGTTCCACTGTCGCTTTGTAATTAAAGTTCAGTTGTGCCCGCCAATTTTTGACCTGCGTAAGCCTCTGTGCGAAGCCGTCAGCACCAGCAGCTTTCAATTAGGGTATTGCTTTGTGGGTTTATGAACAATTTTAATCATTCCCTTCTGTTTTGAGCACGGGGTTGAATTCTCCTATGAAGGGTTGTATTGTCCATCCACATTAATGATGGAGAAACGTGAGTCAATCGAACATTGGAAGCGTTTGGGATTTGGAAACAGGAGTTATTTATATCTGAATGTCAAGGAGCTTGGTCAGAAGCCAAATGAGAAATTCTATTGGAAGCCTCTGACATGACAGACTCTGCCCAATGGAGTCGAAGTCTTCCCACCCTATTAGGGCCACGTGTATAGCGATGATATTGGCCCGAGGCCCGAAGGCATAAAAGTAGAGGGGTATTCGAGGGACCCAGGATGACGGAAAATGTGTCCAAGCAACGTGAGTCGGTTCTGGGAATATAGAAGGGGTGATTACTCTTAAAGAGTCGAATGAAAGGCTAGCCAAGTAGGAGTTGGAACAATCCTCGGTGGTTGGATTCAAAACTTTGTGATAAAATGAGGATTTGATACGGAAAATGCAGCGGAGGGACTTAAACTGAACATGGTTGAGTTTTGTAAGCTGGGGGGGGGTTAGTTGGGAGCTTTCCATGGCATATAGTAATATGGACTGAATAATAGAACGATAGACGGTGAGTTTCCAAGAGATAATGTATACCGACGAGGCATAAATTCACACCTTCTGGATTGAACTTCGCGGTACGCGGCGCGATGTGACACCGAACCGGTTCTGTGCCATGGCTCACAAAACTCCAAGTACCCTTTGACCGAAATTTCCTCTCGCTGTCTATCTTCTTTCTGGTCTGTGGGATACCCAGAACGCTCAACAAAATCAACTTTGAGGACGCAGCAGTAATGACTTCTTGTTCATGGCCATCTCCAATCTCCATCGGCCTGCGCTTCAATGCATACCTCTTGCGCACCGCAATGGCTTGCCAGCTCCGTCTTCTTGCTTCACCAACGTACTTTTGAAAGGAAACTTCTCTGTACTGAAAATCGGTGTAGGATCAACAGCATGTTGCTTGGGCTGGAGAGTAATGCACAACAACTAAAGATTCAGCGCTATGCCAACCAGGAGATCAGTTGCAGCAATGGAATTCTCTCTGACTTTTCCATCTACACCAAACATCGTCATACGTTTGAGGTGGCTCTCCAATATGTAGCTGTTGATTGGCTCCTGTTAACACTTGTGACACCACATGTAGCGCCAGTTGGATTGCTAGCCGCTGCTGTTGACTGATCTTTTTGAGGAACATTTCTTGTAGGACCATCGCTCATGCCACGGTGCTTTTGTTTGCAAGTAGGCTGGTAACGACAAAGCTTTCCACAACATGGACAAACATTCCCCCATAGTTTCCCTTACCTTCGCGTTTGTTGTTGAAATGGGATTTGCCACAGCCTTTGGCTCTCCATCTTCCGTAGCCTCTTCCTTTTCCTCTTCCTTCCTGGTAGCCATGAGCATGTCCTTCCCGACCTGTTCCTTTACCCTTCGTTTTTCCTTTTCCTTTGGATTTTCCATCTTTTCCTTTTACAAGGCTACTGTCCATGTCCGCAAGGCCACCATGATCCTTGCCAGAATTACTAAGGTCTGCAAGCAGTAGTCCACCCCGAGTTCTGCTCATAGGACAAGAGAAACTGCCTCAATGAACTGCATCTAATCTTTGATGCCAAATTCAACAACATGCGCTGACGTGATTGGCCTTCTTGTTGGTCGAGCAGGATGGAGATCTTCAAATTGTCTTGAGCAACATCTCCTGATCTAGGTTCATACAAATCAACAGCATTCTCAAAGGCAGGGATATTCTGAAGCCACTGAGAAGGTGAAGACTTCCTACTCTAGCATCAAGTTCATGCTCTTCAAGTAGAACAAACCAAGCTTCAAAGCTGTTTCGCATTCTGCGATTTGCTTAGTATAAGATGCGTTGATGGTGTAAAGCATTCTACGTGATTCTTGCTCTTCTCCTGGAAGATCACCAACTGAAATAGAAGGATTTCTTGCAATCTCCACTTTGTTCATTCCTTATATCCACCTATCCATGTGTGCACTTTAAGCTTGAACTCATTCCAACCGTCATGTTCTTCTTTGTGGTTGGCTGGACCAAACACATCTGGGGCTTTATTTGAATCATCTTATGGAGATCACCTTCACCACGTTCTCGTTCTCTTTGTGTCAAAGATTCATTTGCGTGTTGCCCAACATGAAACTGGATTTCTCCGAAACTCTGTTGAGCTTCTTGATGCATCTGTCCAAGTGATGTGGGGGAGTGTGCTGCCAAGTGCACGGCTGCACTTGTCCCTTCAGAGGCCACCAGACTTTGGAGGAGGTGCCCAAAACCCAATATGTTGTATGCTTCGGGTTGGTTGGTGCCTACATAAAGGCCAACCCCGAACCATCCCGAGGTGGTACTTGAGCTCCGGCTGTTGCGAAGATAGACGGTTAACGATGTAGTATCATTAGACACCACCTGCCAGCTTTCGATCAAAAAGCCCACAAAATGTGTTCCTAGCTTTTTCTCGTTCCTCTACCTTCATATGCAGTGGCACGGTAAGAGTTTGTTTTTTTGTGTTGTCTGTTCTTTTTTGTTGTTTGGGCTTTTCGCGTGTTTATTTTTTTGCTGTTTGGGCGGGGGCGTGGGCCCCGCCCAAGCAGCAAAAAAAAAACGCCCGCGCCCAAACAGCAAAAAATAAACACGCCTCCTATCCTTCCGAACGTTATTTTTTTGCTGTTTGGGCGGGTGGGCGTGTTTATTTTTTGCTGTTTGGGTGGGGGACGGGAGTTCACTCACTTACCGGTCTGCCTGGCTCGTCTTGAAGGGACCCAACAACAAAAAAGACCAATCAGCAAAAAAAAAAAAAAGGAACACTTGTTCTGCAGTGGCACTGCAGGCCGGAAAGCAAATAGGCGCCTGTGATGAGAAATCTTCACACTGCCGAGCTTGATACAAACATCGCATGCTGAATAAGGCTTCGGCTCTAGGGATACAAGTAAGGTCTCTTATAGGGTAGAGGGTGGAGGGGCCTTCAATTCCAATTAGGCGGTGGGGAAGGTGTTTGATGTAATAATGAGGGAAGTGATGACTAACGCCCCCAGCATGCTCAATGGCGGGATCCTCTACTACACCCGCGGCTTACATAAAACCTAATGAGAGTCCAGTCAAGTCTTTGATCAGGTGGCACAATATACAGGATCGATTCTGCCTTGAACAACTAACTAAATACCCTAAATGAGTTAGATGGTGCTGAAACTATAGTTACCCCACTCAGTAATGCCTATGAACCTCTATGTGCATTTCAGCTTTGCGAGAACATCTTCAATGCTTCATTCACTGTGAAGTAGCAATCTCGTGATGTTGCGAAACTTCTTCACTTTGACGAGTAGACCCTTGGAATAAGTAAGAGGCCTGGACAAACTCAAACTCTAGCTAGCCCATGAGCCTTCAGGTAGTCTGGATCCGACAGTTACAAACAGTGCACGAATAAAATAATCCTGTTGCAGCCTAAGCTTGTCGGTCTAAACTTTAGCGTTTCTCAGGCTAGGGTGAGGCTACAGGATAAAGAGTTTTGTTCACAGAAAAGCGCTAGCTGAGTAGGGATACAAGAATCTACTAACCCCATTTGGCACAGGCAGTGCTCATGGCTATCCTTGCGTACGGCCTGGACATGCTCAAGTTGACCATACTACACCTCAACAGGAAAGAAGCTTTCTACTTGCCTGGGAGCATCTGCGGAGTATAAATGAATTGCTTACAGCATGCTTGCCGAGGATAATGTAGTAATTAGTTTGAGCAGCACCCACATGCAGCCGCAGTGCAGCAAGCGACCCCGCGTTGGAGCACGAAAGATTGGCACAAAGTGTTATCGTAGCAGCAACACTCATGCAAGAAAGTCATGGCAAAGCACATCTTTTTTTGAGAGCACTAGCACTCAGGCGGGTACATCGTTAAGCACCTGCGCTACCATAGCCTCACGATTGTGAAGAGCTGCGCGTCTGTGCAAGAGCCCTTCGATGAGGCAGGTTCCCGCAGATTTTTGGGATGTCTTCTGCATCAGACACAATCCATTTTCAGGATTGCACCGTACTTGAACTGGCATGCAAAGCTCAAGAGCAAAACTGCCTAACACCAAAGATAATCTTAAATCCTTTAAACATTGCCGCCCTCGTTGCCGACGTCCACCCCTTTCAAAGGCATGCTGGTGGAGTTTAAGCAAGGTCCGGCGGCGATGCGGAGTTTCCAAATCAAGGTAAGCTTCTGTTTGCGAACTTAACTCCCGTATGTTTGGAGAAGAGTCCCCAACCTTTTTGGAAACTGAAATGTAGCAGGCTGTCAATCACCAAGGCCCAAAGTTGGGTCGCCGGGGCTTGGCGGCCTTCGTAGACGCCTGGAGATGTTCTTGAGGATGCATAGGGTCTTGGGAGTGTGAAGGCTTTAAGTGTTCATGTGGCGTGTAGGGTTCTGGGAGTAGGTTTGAGTTTTGGGTTGAGGCCTTTCGCTTTCACCTTGCAACTGGTGCTGTAATGCTGTAGTCCCTGTCCAATAATGGTCAAGTGAATACGTAAATGTGAGGTATGATGATACCGTTGATACTACGCATCCTGCAAGACATAAGTCTACTACAGCACTGCTGCTCAGAAGGTATGATGTGTTTGAGATCATTCAGGACCAATATCAACCATATGATGTCAACAAAAACAGACGAATGGTAGCGATTGCAGATTTCTGGTGCTTGGCTTTGACCTCCAGTATAACCAAAGCTTCAGCGCCCTCTCCTTCTGAGGTTTTCCCTTCGATGCCTCAAGGGGCTTCTCGCCTTTGGCCTTCAACGCGGCCTGAGCGGCGGCTAACCTGGCACAGGGCTGAGAGATAACTGCTGCAGGGTTCGATGCGTTGGGCTTGAGCTTAGGGTTTAGGATTCGGATTGGGAATTAAGAATCTAGTAAATTAGGGTTCACGGCTTAGGGAAGGGAATGATTCCAAAAAAACATTAAGGGGCTTAGGGGTTTAGACACAGCTGGTTATATGGGGGCCGCTAGAAGGTTCAAGGTTTGCTTATCGGTGAGCTTAAGCATTTCTACGGGTTTACATCACTCAGGGGCGATGTAGGGTCTAACATTGAGGATCGGGGTTTATAGAGTTCCGGGTTCATGCGGCTTACATTCACAGTGTCAGCCTATGTAGTTTCACCTTTGTTCCAGGTGTTTTGATTTCAAGGTTTAGGCTTTGGGGACGAGGGTTAGGTTTTTCTAGTGTCTTCGGGCCTTTAACCTAAACTCTATGCAGTCCCTTGTTCATCCGCTCCTTCAAAAGACGGACAAATCCCTAGACAATTAAGTGCCCCGAGAATCTAGAACCTGAGCGTCCTTGATCACCTTTGGTCTGTACTGCGTTCGGGTATACATACAAAACAACAAACAAAATTACCTTTGAACAAAAAGTGCTATTCACGGATCCAAATCAGATTCTCTACGAACTTGGGCCCTTAGGTCCCGTAGCGCCTGGCCACGGGGATTCGGAAGGGCGAGCAGCTCACGTAGTCCAGGCCCAGCTTCCTGGGCTTCTCAGAATAAGGCTTAGGGATTGAAGGTGCAAGAGTACAAAGGGAAAGTACAGCATCAAGAGTTAAGGGTTCCAGGAGCACAGGGTGACAGATGATGGTCCTTTATTGCAACGTCGGGGACATCTTAGGGTTCAAGGGTTTCGAGTTGGGGGCTTCGGGTTTTGGGTGAAAGGGGCGTGCTAGTTTTGGGCTTTCGGTTTTGGGCATGGGGTTTCGCTTTTTTGGTTGGTGGATAGTTCAGGGAACCTCAGGGTTTAGGGCTCGGGCAGAGAATTCAAGAAGCTGAAAGGGTGAAGGGCATAGGGCTTTGCCTACATACAGAGTTGAGGGTGTAGTGTACAATGAGAGTATCTCGTGCACCGACGAGCAGGTTTATGTGTATATCAGTGGCTGCGTATGGATCGACTCATGACGTTTTGGCGCCAATCCACAATAAGCTTCTGGTGGTGGCATCACCAACCGCACCCATTTCCTCGGTCTGCAGTGAAGTGCAGAATGCCCTAGTCCTCCAGGCCCCAACCCTAAACCGGCTCCAAACCCAATTGCTGAACCCTGAGCCTAGCCCCCAAACCTTGATCCCTAATCCTTCAACAACACTGCCCAGCTTCTCGCAGAACTCGATTGAGGCCGGGTCGCCGCCGTGCTCACCACAGATACCCATCTTCCTGGCTCTTGATTGGTAGGTTTCGGCTTTTCCTTCCTGGTGCTTAGTGGGTGGTTTGGGGGTTTTAGGATTAAGGCTTCTAGCCTTAGGGCCTCTTAGGGCCTTAAGGTGCTGGATCCTTTGGTTGCGAGTCGATCTGAGGTGGAGAGTTCTACGGTTACTTCAAAGCCCCAAGAAATTTCAAGACTATTTCTGGATCTCATATACTGGAAGCAAAGAATGACTACCAAGCATGAGGGAACAACATCAATTTATCAGCTACAGTGTTGGGTAGTTCTAGATTACTTGGTGATGACGATAAGATGTTTAGCGCTGGGTGTTTCGGGATGGAAAGCATGGATGTTCTGTGCTTACGAGTGCTGTGCAACTTCTACCACGTAGAGTGTACTCTGAGTTACTCTACTTCTACACTTCGCTACTAACCAGAAGCGAGATTCATACCGGATCGCGTTTTCCGGCCATTCTCCACCGCCATCTTGATCAGCACGCCCACGCCTTCCTGAACAGTGCCAAAGCAGGTTTGAGTAGCTTGGGCTTGGGGTTTAGGATTCCACGGAATCTAAAGGCCAACTTTGTGCATGAGGAACCCAAGGTTTTGGGGCTAAAGCCTTTTTTAAGCAGCCTTGAAAGGTACGAACTGATTGCAGAGATCCCGTAAGCACCACCAACAAGAATCTTGAACTGGCAGCAACTCCTAATCAACCCAATCCCAACACCTCATCCCTAGACCCTGTAACAATCCAAAGCCCCAAAACCGAAACCCTAAAGCTGAACTTTAGCCTCTCCTGATCCAGGCTCACGAAAGGATCCTGGGCCACGATCCTTGGGACAAAATTTGTAATGCATATTAAGAGTTGAGGGCTTTAGGATTCGGGGCTGTAGCCTTTCAGGGTAGTAGGGCTTAAAGGTTGAGAGCTTGGTGAGTGTGAGGGTTTTCCAGGGTTCTAATTCAAATCTTGTGCTCATATCAGGGTTATACCAACGGCTACAAGATCGGAACGCGAAACGATAAATTCCTCAACCCCCAAAGCCTCTACTCTGAGACCCAAGCCCTTGAGCACCAGTAAGTAAACTCTAAGCTCATAACCTTTTTCATCCCTATCAGCCCTGTCACCCCTTGAAAGGGACGGAGTTTCCCCTATGGTTCCATAGCGCAACAAACTGGGTTGCTGTTAAGGAACTTCATTAATCTAAATCAGTTACCATTCTATGGGAAGCTTCGTGTTTACCAAATATGCATATATATATATATATGTATGCTCACACCCCCCGCCCATGATCCACCGAAAAGGCGTTTTTCATGAAACATCGTATTTCAGTTTATGTACATACATGTAGCCACTTCGTTGAGTCAAGGGATCCTGGAATCCAGGATTCATGGTTGTCCATCTGATTGAAAGCAATACGACTTCGAATTGGAATTAATTCAAATTAGTACTACAGAAATCCTGGATTATTAATATGGGAATCCTGGAGTGCTGGACTACTGATTTGTATGTGGTCCTGGTCCATATAAATCCCTTATCAAACTTAATTCGATTAAATACGAAAATCCTGGAATCCTAGATTCCTGATTTTGGGGATTCTTGTCTAAATACATCCCTTATAAACTTTGACAAAAGATAACACG